AATAAAACATGATATTACTGTGTTACACTTACAGTAGCTTCGTTAAAATAATACAGGATACTGTGTAAAACTTACAGTAGCTTCGTTAAAATAATACAGGATACTTTGTAAAACTTACAGTAGCTTCGTTAAAATAATACAGGATACTGTGTAAAACTTACAGTAGCTTAGTTAAAATAATACAGGATACTTTGTAAAACTTCCAGTAGCTTTGTTAAAATAATACAGGATACTTTGTAAAACTTCCAGTAGCTTCATTAAAATAATACAGGATACTGTGTAAAACTTACAGTAGCTTGGTTAAAATAATACAGGATACTTTGTAAAACTTACAGTAGCTTCGTTAAAATAATACAGGATACTTTGTAAAACTTACAGTAGCTTTGTTAAAATAATACAGGATACTGTGTAAAACTTACAGTAGCTTGATTAAGCACCAGAACATGTATTCCTCTTCCTTTATTATCTTCAGCATCTTCCAAAATCTAGATGAAACAAACCAGAAAAAAATTACAAGTTCACATTGAATCAATTGTTACAGTTAATAATCATAGGCTACAAACAGTAACACAAGTTCAACAGAAAAGTCAGTCTTGATTAAGTCTACATATTTTCAGATATCATTACCAAGTGAGAAAAAGAAATGTTTAAAGAGCACAGTAAACAGGTGATATTGTAGAGAAACTCTTTTAAAAGCACCACTTTTATTACTAATGGTTATTCAAACAATCTAAAGTTTGTGGCACATTTTAAAACAAAGACAATAATATTCTTCCTAATCTTTTATTTCTACACAAGACAGGTGTAAACTTAAATAAAACTAAAGCACTTACTGTAGCACCATCTACAGACACTGAAACTTTGGACTGGCTTGAAACTACTTCTATTGTTAATGTTTTTGGTAAGCTTTCCTGAAGCCGCAAACTGTTATACCGTTTTTCTGCACCAGATATTCCTCCTGGATCATCTGTTATTTATGGAAATTGAAGAGATAAGATTAAAATGTCTGAGCTGCTCTTTTATATACATATATACTTCTTTATTAAAGCACAGATAATACTGGAATAATCTAGAAATTTAAAGTGCTTTATGGTTTTGATTACAAATTTCTATTTAGTCCTGACTCAATAAAAGGATCCATGGAGTATACCAAAAATAACTAGAAAACTGTATTTCTTCGGTTTTTAAATTCATCAAAAATATTGTCTTCCAATTATCCAACCTAACAATAATCAGAAGACTGCTAATTTTCTGAGCATGGTCATAAAACAATTATCCACAAGACTATCATATTTCAGAACCCAATCCTCAAGCATTATCCAGAACTTGTACATACAACAAGTATTCTTGAAAATCAACAGTAATTCTGTCATTCACTAGTTTTCAATTTAGGGACAGTAAATGCTAGGCAAAGCACATAAAAAATGAAGGAGAAAAAAAGCTTGTGTTGCTTACATTCCAGAATTATTAAATAATGGTGATATTTCATCCTTTCATTTATTTTTTTTTTTCTATATTTGGGTTTAAAAGAAATTTATGCTGTTATTAGTTTGAAAACTTCTAACATTGAAAAATAAGCATTTTTGTATACATACATAACTAATAAATAAGTCTGGTATCTGTTTTATAAAACTACTTTACAAAAGATAGTATTGTTAAGTTTTCCGATATTCCTAGAAGCTTCAATTTATTCTATCCCACCATTTCAAACTTCTGTTTTGTAATATGAAAACAAATGTGTGTTAAAATTTAATGTATGTACGCATGTTGATATTTGAGATTATAACATTGGTTCTCATTTCCTAAAAGCTTTTGTGTGACATTACACTGATTTGTGGAAAGATGCGACAAGAAAAAACCCTGAAAATTACTAACATAACACCTTCATCATATGTGAAAAAGAGCAGTATTTATGAGGCAAGGTTTCAGGGGATGTATAGAAGATGAATGGAAAAAGTCCATAATAAAAGTTCTCTGTAAGCCCCTTTTTGAAACTTGATGTATAAAAAAACCTAGTTACTAACCAAGTTTCATAGTTCATTCCACTACTCATTAAAACTTTCATCTGATTTTTTCTAAGTATCATTTACTAAAGTGGAAAAGTTCATTTCTATCAATTAGAAAAAAAATTAAATCAACAATGTGTTATAAATAACCTGTTTAATCACATCTTGAACCAAAACCAAGCAACAAAGGAAAAGCTTAATATATGACACAATATTTAAACATTACAACCACATACATCTCCATATCTTTTTCTTACACTTCCAGTTCCTCATAATATGAGTCATATGATTATAACCCAGTCAGATAATTCAATTTTTTAGTGAACTTCCTAATTATCAAATCCATGTTGATTACCTACAGCAGACTCCCTGACGTGTAGAGTAACAAACAATTACTTGGAAATCGTGTAGCCCATGGCAAGCACCGAGCTGTTTGTAGTCCAAAGTATTCTACTTCTGTCCTAGTATTATATTATTACAAGCCTGCTTATTGGTTGCATGATAATAACTGTCACCAGAACACAACTTACTGATGTTTAAAGCTACAGCTTACATTATGGTGCTATTAAGTACACAAACCAAGTGTTCTGATTTTTCTATGAGGATAAAACAGTTACTTCTAGGACAAGACTGTCATTTATAAAAAGTTACTGATATATGAAAGTATTGTTGTAAAAAATGCTATTTTTAGGTATTATAGTTTTTACTCTAAGCATTTCAAGTGCCATCAAGTATATAATGAATTTGTGCACAGTTTCAAGAAAACTACAAAAAAATTAATAGCATAAAAAAATAAAGGACTACCTAATCTTATTCTTACACATGTATTCCATAACACATTAAATAACACAGATTTTTCATAACTAGCAAGTACGAAGCACTACGCAAATAATTTTGCTATATTCTTACACATGTATTCCATAACACATTAAATAACACAGATTTTTCATAACTAGCAAGTACGAAGCACTACGCAAATAATTTTGCTATAGTGGACTGGAGTGTCGATATAAAACTAAATGTTGCTTCAGAGAGCAAATGTTATAATTATGTTGATGCATATTAAATCTGATTTCTTTTCACAATAAAATAGTTTGATGTTATCCTTATGCAAGTATGAGAAAAAAAAACTTTTTAAAATTAAGGAACTACGAGACTATCAAAACGATCTTTTTCACATATATCAATTAAAGCCTCCTTGCTCAGTAAACTAGAGCTCTGTCAGATCAGATAAGGAAATTTTGTCAGTAAACATTAATTACTACAGTTACACATGCCTGGCTTTATTAACTTATTTTTCCAATTACCAATTTTACAGAATTATAATAATCATAAAGAAAGTGATAAATAAAACAACTTACAGCAGAAGGTACGATTTGTTATGTTAATTTAATTTACATTAACATATATATTTAATCACTATTATCTAAACTAAAAAATTAAAATACAAAAAGTGTCAAACTTCCTTTCCAAATTCTGATTAACTATTTCAATTCACTCTCTTTCTGGAACACTTGAAGTTTTTTTTTTTTACAAATTGATATTACTTTTACTGTCAATAGCTATTACCCATAAGTTAAATTTTAAGTTAGCATATGTATTTATTTAGAATAATGATCAATGCATCTTCATTTATCTGCATCACAGTTTTCAACCACCAGTACATGGAATGGTACTTCTTTTTCAGAGCCACTTTGCCAGTTTGTGGGATTTCACAAAAACAAAAAAGGATTTGCCAGAACATTCATATGTAAAATTGTAGAGGTTTTTCACCGTCTTTGCATTCTAGTTGTCCCCGACAGTTTAGGGAGACAGCGGGCTGGTCCCTGATATTGAAAAGGTTGAGAAATGCTGGAAATTCAAAAATTCAATTAGAGACAAAAATATGAAACCCTGTAATGCAAGTGCTTTTCAAAGGTGCACCTTTTGAATGCATCCAGGTTACAGAGTTTTGTATTTTTGTCTTCATTTATCTTGGGTAACCATGAAGAAACATTTGTTAATGAACATCCAAACACTTACAACATTATAAACCTGAAAACAGGAAATGGACAAAAAATAATCAAACCTGACTCTGCTGATTCCTGTTGAAGCTTTCGACTAGTGTCCAAGATAAACAGGACATTAATTACCACTGTAACCATCAATATGATCAGGAGGACAAGCTGTAAACAACACAAACATTATTCATTACTATAAACCAAAATCTTTAGTGCTATTATAATTGTAATTACAAACAATAACTGTTGTAGACTGTAGTTAAAAGATAAAGATAAGAAATACAGTCAATCATCTACAAAAAGTAGAAATGAATTATAACAATCATTGAAATAAACAGCAAAAATGCACATTGGTCTATAATAAGCAATTGAAATAACAAACAAACATGCACACTGGTCTATAATAAGCAATTGAAATAACAAACAAACAAACATGCACACTGGTCTATAATAAGTAATTGAAATAACAAACAAACATGCACACTGGTCTATAATAGGCACTGAAATAACAAAAATGCACACTGGTCTATAAAAGGCACTGAAATAACAAACATGCACAGTGATCTATAATAAGCATTGAAATAACAAAAATGCACACTGGTCTATAATAAGCATTGAAATAAAAAAATGCACACTGGTCTATAATAAGCTCTGAAATAAAAATGCACACTGGCCAATAATAAGCACTGAAATAACAAAAATGCACATTGGTCTATAATAAGCAAATGAAATAACAAAAATGCACAGAGTCTATAATAAGCAATTGAAATAACAAACAAACATGCACACTGATCTATAATAAGCAATTGAAATAACAAACAAACATGCACACTGGTCTATAATAAGCAATTGAAATAACAAACAAACAAACATGCACATTGGTCTATAATAAGTAATTGAAATAATAAAAATGCACAGGGTCTATAATAAGCAATTGAAATAACAAAAATGCACAGGGTCTATAATAAGCAACTGAAATAACAAAAATGCACAGGGTCTATAATAAGCAACTGAAATAACAAAAATGCACAGGGTCTCTAATATGAAATTGAAATAGCAAACAAACATGCACACTGGTCTATAATAAGCACTGAAGTAACAAACATGCACATTGGGCCTATAATAAGCACCAAAGTAACAAACATGCACACTGGTCTATAATAAGCACCAAAGTAACAAACATGCACACCAGTCTATAATAAGCACCAAAGTAACAAACATGCACACCAGTCTATAATAAGCACCAAAGTAG